CACATTAAACAATGCAGAAATTACCAAGGAGGGTCATACTTACAGCCAAAGACGGTATATACTTTCTCTCTCTCACTCCCTATCCCTTTACCAAAGCATCTGAACCACATCTTTGCAGTACAGCCCTATTACCTGAATAATTCAGTTATGTATTATTTGTTAGGAAATGGGAGCCTACCTGACCTCATCAGGCAGGCCTTTCCATAAGGTGGGGACATCAACAGAGAATGCACATGTATAGGCCATTGTTGATTTTGCCTGCTTGTGGGGCAGCACCTGCAGAAGCCCTACTCAGGTGAGCAAAGCTGTTGTGGCAGAGTGTAATGATTTCAAGTTATATGTGTGTGTTTCTTTAAATGGTTGTAAGTGTCAGAAGACCACAATAGGCCAGACTGGCTAAGGAACTGAGGGAGCAAACGAGAATAAGATTTGAGTTCTCAAACAGGTGTAGGAAAACTAATGGGGGAAGAGGGGATAGCCCCTGAAGAGTTCAGGAACAGATTTCAACAGCTGGGAGCACATCAGGGCTCTTGGAGGGAGGGGTTTTATTTTGCGCACGACTGCTGTAGTATCTGGACTAAACAGATCATATTTCAGCCTGGGGGTGGGAGGCAGATAGTTACAGACATTTGGTCGAGCCAAAGGTACAGCCCAGGCACGATCTATTACATTAATACTCCTGAAGCAGAATTCTGGATAGAGACCTGGCACCCGGATGGGGGATGGAGACTTTGGAGGGTATCTGAATGGGAACCCGATGATAATCACGCACATCAGAAGGCAAGGGCCTTCAGGATCTCCTGGGGAGGAGCCCGGCGCTGTGAGCAGACGTGTCTCAGGACGCTCCCGAGCCGTCCGCGTCTTCTTTGTTGTATGGGGGTTGCCCGTGCGAGTGGGGACCCTCGGCTCGGTCTCCTGGAGGGAGGGGAGCAGCAGGGGGCTCTTTCAGCCACCCCCGATGACAGCAAATAACAGGGGTGTTGCTGGTATGCCTCGAAGCAAGAGCAAGGAAACGAAGAAAACATGGCTGCCATGTTTTCACTAACAGCGACCAGCCGTTGTTTTTAATCAACAATTGTTAAGCAACGCATCCCAGCAAGAGAGGATATTCTAAGTGAGTTCAAATGGAAAATATTTTCTGTGTATTTCATGCATCGTAAAAATCAATACAGAGTTCAGAAAAAACCCTTTAATTACCCCTAAAGTGTATAAGAAAGCGGCTATGAAGGGACTGGGGAAAAATCGTATGGTCTGAAGAAAAGGGGGTAAGAACTGAGAAAAATAAACCGCCTTAAAATAAATTGCCTTTAAAAATTGCCTTAAAAAATACCTATATCTATTGTTAGTTGAAAGTAAGACTGTTGGAAGACCCCGTTATTTTGAACATTATACTTGAATACGGGTGAATAAAATGTAAAAGAGGAACGAGTTAAAAATAACAAAAAAATGGTGTCCAATGAGGAAGAGAGAGAATGGGAAATGAATATATTAGTGGAAGATTTAACCTATGAACAATTTAAGAGATTTTTGTCGACTATGATCGAAGCAGTTGAATCAGCCTGTAAGTCCCTATTTAAAGAACCTAGGAGGGAAGTTGCAGATATTGGAGAGAATAGAGAATTTAGTCTACAGTTGCAAGCTACACCTGAATTACAAGATGATGGCCAGGAGAGGGAGCTACTGGACAAGAAACCAGCGATCATGCAGACTCTAACTCAGGAATCAGATGTGTATAGAAATCATCTGCGGAATGACCAAATAAGACTGAAGAGGAAAAAAGAAGCAAAAAAGGTCATTCCTTAATTATTTTTGTACAAAAGAGAAAGAGAAAGGAGGTGACTAAAAACAAGGAGTTAAGAGATGGAGGAAAGAACTTAAGAATCCCCAAAAGACTGACAAATATGGCATGGAAAAAGAAAAGGTCAAGTTTGAAATTAAGCGTCCAAGAATACAAAAATTTTAGGCATCGAAAAGAAATTGAGAAAAAAGAAGAGGTAATAGAAAGATGGGGGAAAAGATTGAAACTATGTTATGATTTTTATGTAATATATTTTTCTAACCTTGATAAATGATGGCTTTTGAAAAAGAAATGGACATTGTGCAGAACCTATACATAGACTTTGTTTGTAATGAAATGTTAGGAGAAGATGCTGCAGAAACTATACATAGACTGTGATTGTAATGAAATGTTACGAGAAGATGCTGGAGTCTGTGTTAATTTGTTATAAGTTATGGTTTGGGAGTATTGTCATAAATGAAACAAAACAAGTAAAAGAGGCAGTGGCAGTTTTTCATAAAGTAACAGAAGACCATGTTAATTGGTGGGAAATCAACCTACCTAGTTGGTTACAATGGTTAAACGGGATCTAGCATTGGTTAATAATAGGGATAATAGTTTTTTTAGGAGTAGTAATTACTTTGGTAGGATGTTATTGCTGTGTACAATGCTGGCTGTTACTAATGCAATGTTTTCAAGGTATAATCCCAAAGCCTACAAGGAAAGAAGAGCAAATACAGTTAATGCTAATGGATTTGGAAAGTGCTTTAGCTCAGGTAAAAATAAAAGAGTAGGGATTGAGGGAAGTGAAATAGTTAAAATAAGCTGAAAGCAACAGGAAATGTGTGAACAATGGCTGAATTATACTGTTAAGGAATGAGAATTTGAGTTATGGACTATGTTTATTGCTACACCAAATGGACTGTGCACACACACTGATATTTGAGTTATGGATTATGTTTGTTGCAACACACAATGGACTGTGCACACACACACATAGGCTCAGAAAGCTGTACAAGTCACCTGTTGTGATACTACACATAGAAGGTGCCTGCATAAGCCTTAACACATAAATGAGGTTCCAGCTACAAGCCTGGTGAGGAAGCACACATCTCCATTATTGTCAGCAAAACAACAACTTGAGAAGAAGCAGCCCCCATTGCTGAATTGTTGGTAGTCACGCACTCCACACGTCACATCTCTGCTTTGTTTCTACATTGGCATTTCCTGCCAGCTGGACCTTTGATGACCAGAGGGATGGCCGAGCTTCATTTGCACTTCAAGGAAGCATCCTGACACCAAGTTTTCACACTTGAACAGATGCCATCCTTTGAGTTAGGTCTTAGGTTACAATATTGTCCAACCCTCTAGGTAGCCACCCCTCACTACACGCAACCAATAGGATTGTTTTTGGGACGGACTAACAGGTAGGTGGGTCCACAGTTTGGAACAGTTACCTCCCAACTAATGTACCACCTATAAAAGGTAAGGTAAAGGTAAAGGTTCCCTTGCTCGAAAGCCAGTCGAGTCCGACTCTAGGGTTGTGGTGCTAAGGACCATTAAACTGGCCCTTCCTAGCTAGCATTCCCCGCAACAACCCCTGTCTGCTTTATACTCACCTTTTGTCCAGCTTGCTATACCCAAACCCTTGCCTCTACTTTGATCTCTTGATCTGCAGTCAAGAGACCCACACATGCTGGCTGGTTCTAGTCGTGTGTTAACTTCCCTAGATTTCTATTTCTCCCCATCCATTCTTCATTGGAACGAACAAGCTTCAGGACAGATAAGTATCACCCCTCATCACCCCCACCTGCTAATGAAAACGTGCTTATTTTAATACTGTATTTCTAAGGAGCTGGATTGAATGTGTGAGCGCATCAGTATTGTTTGTATGTGATTTATATTCTTAAGTAAAAGACAGTTATTTTAACAACACCAGCCTCGACTCCTTCTCTGGTAACCCTTGGTGGGAACAGGACCTTGGTATACTTGGCAAGCACCCAGTTTAAATTTGCCAATTGCTGCAGATAAAGCAATTTGGCTAAAAATAAGTTTGCCTGAGGAATAAGGCAAAGTAGCAAAAACCTAGAGATAAGATGGGAAGGGGGGTGTAGAAGAATCTGGACTGCAAGAAATAGCCTTGACATACATAGATACTAACAAATACACATGCTTACTGACTTTGTATGAGACAGCCATTGCCTTGATTTGAATCCAGTAACTGATGGAGTGACTGCAGAACAGAAGGAATATGCAACCAATGCCTAGTAAAGGTAAAGGTTCCCTTGCTCGAAAGCCAGTCAAATCCGACTCTAGGGTTGCAGTGCTCATCTCCGTTTCAAAGCCGAAGAGCCAGCGCTGTCCGAAGACGTTTCCGTGGTCATGTGGCCGGCATGACTAAACACCGAGGCGCACGGAACGCTGTTACCTTCCCACTGAAGTGGTACCTATTTATCTACTTGCAATTTCTTGCTTTCAAACTGCTAGGTTGGCAGGAGCTGGAACCAGAGACGGGAGCTCACTCCGTCATGCGGCACACTCGGGTCTCGAACTGCTGAACTACCGACCTTCCACAGCCTGCAGTTCAGCGTCTTAACCACTTGAGCCACCACAGCTCCAACCAATGCCTAGCTCCTAATAATAATCAAGCTGTGGTGTTTGGCACCAACTGGAGTCTCTGAGTTGACTTTGAGGGGAGACCTATATAGAGTTAATTACACTAATCTAGTCTCAGTGTTACTATGGTGTGGATCCAGGAGGTGAATGCAAATGTTTAGGCAGTCAATGGATTTATAAGGGAGTACTTCTGCTTAAAATGGCATTGTTAGACACTAGGCTACACTAGTTCATTGGTAAGGGCTAGAGAAACGTTTGTGTGCTTCTTTACTGAAAATTTTATTCTTTGCATTTCCCCAAATGGCCTCAAGGCAGCTCACAGCAGGAAATCTTACCAAAACCATAAAAGAAATGGGGGGGGGGGGGGGTGTGCAAGTCCAGTCCTGATACCCAGCTCAGTTGTACATCTGAACTGGCCTGAGACTGACAAAAATATATGATGCAAACAGATGCAGCCAGGAAATTATGCTAAACAGGATCGTCTGGCACATTCTTGTTGCTTCCATATATGAAAAGCATATACCGCTTTCAATTTCATATAGTGACTTGGTGAGTCAAGAAAACTTTTTTCATATATACATTTTTACAGGCTTGCATGCTCAATTACCTTGGAATAGAGAGATTTAAAGTGACCTGTTGCACCATCCAATTTATTCTGTACTTCTGTGTAAGTTGATGAACTGTCAATACCTTCCTTGTCATATCGGAAGCCTTCTCTTTTGTTACATAACTTAGCAGCATCTAGCACTCTCTGCCCAGAAATGGTGATGTATCTCAAGTCCCCTTTGTGAGAGATGACATCTTCTGAAAAACTCTTCTGCCTTCTCAGTTTGGCAGTAATGCCACCAAAGTCAGATGCACCTGCCTCCAAATTTTCAAGCTCTTGTTCTGCCTGCTGAAGCCAACTTTCAAACTCATTGTAGTCTGCATCAAACTTCTCAAGCTCCTCATGCAGAGAACGTGTTAACTTCAGTTTGTGCTCTGATTCAGCTAAAGCTGTGTCATACTGCATCTTCAGTTCCTTCATATTTCTTTGTATCTTCTCTTTCTCCTCTGGAAAAAGATGATGACCTTGCTTCTCAAGCAGGGCTTGGGCCGACTGGGTGGCTATTATGACAGCTTGCTGTTGTGAAATAATTTTCTCATGCTGAGCCTGGGGTGGGGGAAAGAATCAAAGTGACTATCGTTGTTACCTCTAGAACATGACAAATTTATGATTTAATCATATGAAGCCAGCATATTACTTAATGATAATTCAGAATCCATGAATGATTCAAAATACAACAAATGTAATCCATGGACCACAGATGTATCAACTAGCTCCAAGCCTTCAAAGCAAATCTACTTCATGTAGAATTCCACATTGCTTCCAACATATATATGATACTGTCTTCATTTGACTTCAATTTTTGAGATAGCTCTGTGCATACAATGGGTATACCATACATGAATGGAGCTTCCCGAAATGACATAGCCCAAAATGACATACCTACCTTCATATTCACAAGACCTCTGTGTGTTCCTGTGCACATGCTCCCAGATGAGGAGCTGTTTGTGTTTGTTTGTTTTTAATTTTTACTGGGTCCCTGTTTACCCGAGCTTTGACAATCTTCAGCTCAAAGTCAGTGGATCAAAAGAACCTCCTAATTCTATTCTGGACATATGTTGGTGACGTTATGAATATACTTTTCAGGCATTCCTACATTCCGCACCAGAGGCTGTATGGAAACTGAGGGCCTACGGCCTCTCAAGGGAAGGGCTTGGGTTGCACTCAGCCTCATTTTGCACAGAGGAGAGTCAACACAGTGCGGTGGCTATTGTTGGACTTGGCTCAAGGAGGCACAAGCTCACTGGGTGACTTTCAGCCCAGGACTCCCTCAGCCTAACCTACCTCACAGGGTTGCTGTTGTGAGGACAAGCTGGAGGAGGAGAGAACGATGTTGTAAGCTATTTGGACCCCAACTAGGAAGAAAGGTGGCATATAAATAAACATATAAATATTGTTGTGACAAGGAATGCAGCAACTCTGCCCCCTTGCCACACTGCATACCTCAAAGTATACAAGGTGGATGTAGCAGGGACTAGGAGGGCCATACCTGCCTCATGTTATTTCCAAAAAAAACAGAATCTGCAGGAGAAAAGTGATAAACATTCAAAACAACTGGTGCACGTGTGTAGTACCTTGATTTTCTGATACTGTTTGTTGAGGTTATCTTCCTTGGGTTCTACTTGTCCATCCACTTGGGATGCATTCTGTTGCTGGACTTCAAACAAATTACCATTTAGTTCATCATCTTCTCCAGCCAAACCCTCCACATCCCCTTCTTGGAAATGGTTGCCATTCTGCTTGATTACTGGCTGGCATTTCTTTTCCCCATGTTCAGCATCCTTGTCTACATTTGACAACCAGTCCAGAAGGTTTTCTATTGTACTTCTGCTCTCTTCCAGCTGCTCTCTGGCTGCAACCTGCACAATTAAAATCCCAGGATGAATATCTGAATGTTATCAAATGTTTGCTTGTTTATTTGCAAGGGCTTTGGATGGGGTATGAATGGCAGGAATCTTTATGGGGCGAGGGAGGTATTTTGGGGATTTATTGTATTTGGTTTTACACCTGTAATGTTTAGATTATTACTTGTAAGACACCTTGCACCAAGAGGAAAGGTGAGGCACAAATTAGTTAAGAAATAAATAAATATTCAGAAGTTAATGATCCAAAGTACATTTTCACACACATTTGGGTTAGATGTTAGAGGAAACTTTCCATCACTTCAAGATCTACAGTTCTACAAAAGGTTCTCTAGATTAATGGTCTTCAGCCCTTCCAGACCTGGGATCCACCTTTAACCATCCAACAGCAGCATGGAGGGGGACACTGATTTGCAAGCATGGGACAGGACCTCATATGACAGGAAGAGGTGGAGCCTCCATTATAAGCTACTGGTGGAAAGCACTGAAAGAACAACTGACTGGGGTGGGGGTCAGAGTGGGTTTGGAAGGGAGAATAGGGAGAAGGCAAGGAAGAGCTTCTGAAGGAAGAGTGGGTCTCTGAACCTACCTATTCTAATCCTCTTTACTGCTAAGCAGCCTCTCTGCACTATCCTGTTGCTCCTCTCAGTCTGCATGCAAGTAAAGGCCTTAAATGTGGATCCCTTTTTCTCTATACAAGGTCACAAGTAGCAGTTCCTTCCAAAAAGCAGCCCCCCCAACATAGCAGCTCTTTAGCAGCTTGTGACCTAGTAGGTGGGGCTCTGTCATCCATCTGAGGGGCCTGAACTATGTATTGAAGACCACTGTTCAATAGCATTAATGAAAGCTGACAGACACGCTTGTTTTAAGAATGCTATGGGATGAATGAGGACATGAAATGGTATAGTATATCCCAGTCTTGTCAGATCTTGGAAGCTAAGCAGGATCGGTACCTGGATGGAAGACCACTAAGACTTTGCAGAGATGGAACACTTTGCAGAGGAAGGCAACGGCGAACCACCTCTGCTTAATCACTTGCCTTGAAAACTCTATGGTGTTACCCTAAATCAGCTGTGACTTGATCGCACTTCACACACACACACACACACACACACTTCACACACTTACACGGGATGAATTTTAAAAAGTGCCCTTCTATTCAAGGAGGGATCTTGTGTTCATGGAAGTAGTTTTCCACTAACAAAAGAGTTAATCAGTTCACAGAAGAAGCCATTCCTCCACAAGCAGAAGAGATCCAATCCAATACATTTTGAATGGATACAATTTTTTTTGGGGGGGGGGGGAATTATACCTAAAATCTAGCAGCAACATGATTCTTATTTGAAAGCAAAACTGTATGGATGACATTCCACATGGGAAGCTCTGTATACACAACAGCATGACACGGTCCTCTCCCATTCCCAATGGTAAGAAAGAAGCCTGATAAAGAACACTTGTGTTCAGGCCACTTGAACTTTGTAATGAGGCTTTCATTGGGCCCTTATTTGTTTTTAACTGTCTTTCTAATAAATACATGTATTTTTGTATATTATAAGATTACACACCAGGTTTTTAATATTGGCCCTTTATCAGACTTCTTTCTTACCCTTGTGGTTCTTGATTCCAGTTTTTGGGTAAAGTTTGTTTTCTCCTTCCTGTGTCTTACTCTCCCATTTCCAACCTGGGATATTTCAGAATTTTGGTTCCTTTGAGACTTTTTTGGTACAGGGCTATGACTATTTAAGTACATGTAATGAGGGATACACCACATATGAACTGTTCCTGCATGTATTATTAACCCTACTCATCCTTAACATTAATACACAAGGCCTAACTACTAAGTGAACATATTTCACTGCCTCATGGATCACTGCCTTGACATGGCGAGGGGGCTTGCGTGGTTCGATGAGGCTGTGGGCTATGCTGTGGAGGGCCATCCAGGATGGACAGGCCACAGCAGAGAACTCAGACCAAGTGTGATTCACTGGAGAAGGAAATGGCAACCCACTCCAGTATCTTTGCCAAGAAAACCCCATGGACAGTAACAAAAGGCTACAAGATATGACGCCAGAAGATGAGCCCCTCAGGTCGGAAAGTGTCCAATATGCTACTGGGGAAGAACAGAGGGCAAGTACAAGTAACCCCAGAAAGAGTGAAGCGGTTGGGCCAAAGCCGAAAGGGTGCTCAGCTGTGGATGTGTCTGATGGTGAAAGGAAAGTCCAATGCTGCAAAGAACAATACTGCATAGGAAACTGGAATGTAAGATCTATGAATCAAAGTAAGTTTGACATGGTCAAAAATGAGATGGCAAGACTGAACATCGACTTCTTGGGAATCAGTGAACTAAAGTGGACAGGAATGGGCGAATATAACTCAGAAGACCATTATATCTACTACTGTGGCCAAGAATCCCGTAGAAAAAATGGTGTGGCCTTTATAGTCAACAAGAGAGTGCAAAAGGAAGTAATGGGATACAGTCTCAAAAATAGAATGATCTCGGTCCAAATCCAAGGCAAATCATTCAGCATCACAGTAATTCAAGTCTATGCCCCAACCACTGATGCAGAAGAGGCTGAAATAGACCAGTTCTATGAAGACCTACAACACCTCCTAGAACTAATACCAAAAGAAGATGTCCTCCTCATCATAGGGGACTGGAATGCTAAAGTAGGAAGTCAAAAGGTAACCGGAATAACAGACAAGTTTGGCCTTGGAGAACAAAATGAAGCAGGGCAAAGGCTAACAGAGTTTTGTCAAGAGAACA